TGCGTCAAGATCGCAAAGGCAAAATGTCTTAGTCCCGTGTTAAGAGAAAGGGTTCTAGGCGATAATTTTCCGAAAGCAAATTGTCCCGGGTAGCGAATTATCCGGCGCAATTGTTCTGGGAGCAAATTGTCCTGGGGGCGAATTTATTGACCTGAGAATGAATGTCCGGGTGCGAATTGTTCAGGAAAGAATTTTTCGGGGGAGCGAATTGTCCCGAGACACTTTTCTGGCGCGAATTGTCCTAGGAGCGAATTACCCACGGGTGCAAATTGACCGAGAGCGAATGATCCGGGCGCGAATTGTCCTGGAGGCGAATTCTCCTGTGGGAGCGAATTGTCCGGGAGTGAATTTTCAGGGCGCGAATTGTCCTGGGAGCGAATTGGCCCGGGAGCAAATTTTCCGGGCGAGAATTGTCTTGGAAGAATTGTCCCAACAGCGAATTGTCCAGGGAGCGAATTGCCCGGCGGCGAATTATCCGCGCACCAAGAAAACAAGTATAAATTGTGCACAACTCTTGTGCAGATAAAGCGCATTTTAACCGAAATGTATAGCTTTTGTTTTGACATCGCCAATTGATATATTTCTTGCAGACGTCTCAATCGCCCTCTGTGAGTCGCGCACTATCTCGAAAACGAGTCGCACGGGAAAGTTATAGTTTGCACAAACCAATTTATTTCGATGAGACCTTTCATTAGAATCCATGAAGAGTAGACATGTGTTTTCCCCCCCCCCCCCACTTTTACTAAAGTTTAACTTGGCACCACTAAAAGCATGCGTATGCAAAATCTGAGACCAATTGGTTGTCGTATGTAAAAGTTATACACGTTTTACTTTCAAAAACAGTATCTCAGGAAATAATTCGGGGGGGGGGGGGGGGGGCTTTAAGACAGCGAAATTTAATGACCGTCTGGCACACCTTCAAGGTATAGGCTACCTACTGCAAAAAAATCCAGGACTCTAGAACCATTCCCCTAGAAGTAGTTCGAAACGGCGGAAGTGGTTCCGGACGGACGGGCGGACAAAACGCAAACAATAGCACAAATTTTAATTCTTAAAAAATACGTCATGTTTCATACACTCCGCTTTAAATTACTTCAACTACTATCAGTGTAATTACGCTACAATTAATAGCGTTCGCTTAAAGCGTTTGCTATTAACACACACGGCGTTTCAAAAATTTAATTTGTAATCAATGTAATTACGCTACTCACGATAAGCATAACTTAAAGCGGTATATCTTAAAACGGGCCACATTCGAAAAATGCATATTGTTCAATTTGTGGTCAGTGTGATTTTGCCACAAATAGTAAGGCTGTTGTAATGCATAATCGACGTAACTTATATTACAGATTTATTTCGATAACGTCGATCGGTCTGTCGGTATATCTGTCTGTACTCTCATTTCCGGCTAAGCGGCTGAACCGATTGGAACCAAGTTTGGTATACATGTTCTTAGACATAAAAGCAAAAGCTGAAAAATGTTGACCAGACGCATACGTAGGCGTACGGGTGGTATATGTGCTAGCTGCAGCATTTTTTCGTTATGTTGTGCAGCATTTATAAACGTGTTTTAATGGTGAACTTCAAAAATATTCCTAAAAATTTAGCGCCCCCAAATTTTTTCTAAAAATTTAGCGGCCCCAAATTTTTTGTTGGCGCCCCCTGAACTCTAACCCTGGCTACGGGCCTGATGTTTGAGTAGTCTGTGGTGGAATATAGATCTAGGCAGATGAATGCCAAAGAAAAAATAACAGTACAACAAAACAACACTCCATAGAATTGTTATGGAAACTTTTTGGAATATTATTACAATCCTTTAGAGGTTTTCTTAAAACCTTTTCGGAATTTTAGAATCTCATAATCTGCTTAAGGCCTTTGTATATTCTTTTAAGGATCTTCTTAGAAACGTTCTATAACGCATTTTCTCAAAATCTCTATAAACATTTTTAGAATTTTTTTGGATATTCTACAGAATCTTCTTACAACCTTTCAAACTCTCCTCTTAAAATTTTAAAATCTTTTAAAGTTTTCTTATTATTTTCTCGAACCCTTAGAAACTAATGTAACTAAATTAGAACTAGTTTTATTGGTATATCCAATTAATTATTATTATTAAGTAAAAGTACAGACTCTCTTTTGTACAAATTATTACATGCAAGATAAATATGTTAGTATAGTTTTAAACTACAGATACAACTACCACCTATACAAGTAGTTGCCCGTTCCGTAAGTTAATTTCAGTTCTGGATGGCATTTTTCTAATTTGCATTCCGTCTGTACGGAAACGGATATGGTGTAATTAGTAAAAGAATGCCTTTTTTACATATAAGTGTTTCGTAGTTGCAAGAAGAATCTACCATTAAACTAAAAAACTTTAATTTCCCAAGAGACCGTTGCATATTACCTATATGCAAGACAGATCGTGAGCTGAAATTCTTTTGTACTTCACGTAAGCACAACACTTGTTTTATTTGTAGTGAGGGGTGAAGATTGAGGATACCTACCTATACTACCCATATTTATGTCATTATCATCACAAGCAATGAAACGTTAAAAATGTATGAGAAAGAGAATGGGTTTCAGGGGGTTTGTAATATACCTACTTAGTTAGCATTTTGTTACGGATGAATCAATGACACTAAATATTTAATTATCTCTATTTAGCCGATCACTCCATCCACAGTTAAATTTCTTTTGTTTGCTGACCTCTTCTTCGGCACTATCTGCAATCAGGGCATAGAGGCTACGATGGCATAGGTCCTTATGGAAGTACGCAGTTTGGGCTTTGAATATAAAATTTTATATTCAAAGGTTTGGGGACTACTTATTAAGGAACCGGTTGCCAAACTGTGACAGTTGAGTGGATAACTAGAGACCATAGAGACTATTTAAACCCCAAACATATCACAAAAAAACTAATTTTGGCAGTTTAAGATGCACAATCATCAAACTATCACTGACATCTATTGCTGTGTTGTGTAACTAACCATTTTTCCCAGTATACCTACCTACACAAAAGACCAAAATTTTGAGATGTCACGCAGAATTTTAGGTCTATTACATTGTCACTCCAGTATTCGTTACTGAAAATGAATTCAAAATGCGAAAAGATTTTGCAAAATTTTTTCTTCTCTTGTTCTCTTACAGTTTCCGAGATCCCCACGGTGGCCCTCGAATTTGAATGAGCCTGTTAAAGATGTTAAAGATTTTGGAAATCTTATGCGTTAGAGGATGATTCTTTAACTTATCATTATTGTTGGTTGTGTAATTGCAATGTCCGCAATTAAAGACTTTGGAAGTATGATAAAATGTGACGTTTTAAACTATCCTTGCTTTCAACTTGCCAATTAAATTTTTGCAAGTGTATTTACTTTTGCAGGCGTCAAAACTACAATATTGATTACATACTTTTGGGCATTGTAAATAAACAAAATGACGGTCTTATAACACCAATAGTAATTACAATGTGCTGCCACCAGAGGTCTCACTGTTAATCTAAATCGCGAATAGGTAGATATTTTGCGTTTCTTATGTCATGGACTAGACTATGTTTACGCCACATGCGTGTATAGTGGATAGGTTCTACCCCAGAACAAAAAACTTAGAAGGGAAACGTAAACGGGAACAACTGAGTACAAATATAATTAGTTTGGAGAACATTCAATAGATGGCGCATAGTTAGCGTGCGTGTTAAAGTTACTAAAACTAGTGACTTTAGTACTTGTCGCCATTATGACAGTTGAATTTTGAATTTTGATTGACGACTTATTGTACTTTAAGTATAATTACTATTCATTACTACAATGAATTATGCGTATACAAATCGAAAACGTAAATGTTGTGTGACAAATTGTGAAGACGTTTCCCAAAAATGGAGCCCGAAGTTTTTAAGAATTGGTTTATTGGAAGAAATTTACACAAAAGTTTTTGGTTTGTGAACGCCATTTTTCTGGTTGCGCTTTAGAACGTGGAACACGAAGAGGTTTAAAGCGTGTGGCAGTACGCACATTATCTTTAACAGGTAACACTAATTGAATTGTAATAAATTGCTACATATTTTGTTTTTAGAACGATCTTGAGAGCATCATAAAGTAGAGTTCCATGAAGTTGATCTTGTATCTTGTATATCCATATTAAATTAAATATAACTCCTTGATTGGATTAATTGGAGTTGTTACTTATAAAACAAGTGGTCTGTACTCTTTGAAGTCCCTGACTGCTGAGGTGCATCGGCATTAAACTGAATTTATCTGGATCTCTAACAAACAAAATTGGACTTCACTGGCTGGATTCATTTACCTTTTAGGTTTCAGCTAGTCAAATCCAATGTTATTGTTACAGATCCGGAGAAATTAGTATAATGCGGACGTAGCTTACATTTTAATATTTAAATTTGGCGCCATTCACGCAAAAGCTGCTGAGAACATACACGAGGTGGCGCGTCATTTTTACATTACATTAGAGTTTCCATTCTAAGTTTGTTGTTCTTTTTGCAAATCCGGTATAAAAGTTGTAGGGTTGAAAATTGATCGGATACAAAACCAAAATCCAACAAATTCAGTAGATTGAGTTCAACGCATCTACTTCGAAATTAATAGTGCATCAGAGGGCATAAAACGGAATTGAATTTGATGTCAACTTTGTAGACGTCACTTTAAGCTAAATTTGCAATTATTCATCATTGTGTAAATAAACGTCTTATAATATTTAAATGCCGGTCAAGAGAAACTTCAGATATATCCTACTTTTGACATTTTAGGAAATGAAATGTCATTTCAACGTATCCACTCGAGAATACTATGGCATATACACCCGCAAAAGTAGATTTTAACGTAGCGGATTTCCTGCATCCAATCGAAAGTTGCGGCGTACATTTTTGGTATAACAATGTTGCCAAACATCACAGGATCACAATCTGTTTAAGGAATCATATCCTTACCGACAATCGTAATGGTAAACACTTCCATTTGAACAGGAAAAAAATACTGTCAAATAAAAATCAAGAGGTTAGAAAATTGTTTGTTGAATATGAATTCATAATTATTATTGTTATTCAAAATGTTAGTCATTTTAATACGGTTTTAAATTTATTGCATGTAGTGGCGCACGAATTTTAGATTTACCTCATTATGGCTACACAAGATAAATTATTGAAGTCTTTAGAATCTTTGAGATCTTTAATGAATACAAATTCTACAGCTGACCTCTCCCAAAGGTACATATTTCATAGTAAATAGTATAGGTAGGCTTATAAAATTCCCCTACAGGAAAAAGGAAAAAATTCACCATTGCAATATCATTACGGATACAATTGGAAACGCAACTATTAGAGTTGCACCGAACTTTGACTGCTTACTTGGTCTATGCATTGAAGCACTTCTACAATTGTGTGATGATCAAGAATCAGATGTGCGAATGATAGCCGACGAATGCTTGAACAGACTAATTAGGGTAAAATGTGTGTTAGTTTGTTCGTAGTTTTAACTGATGCTTATAGGCAGTAAGTGATGGAAACATGAGCAAAATACAAATTGAGCTGCACAAGGAAATCAAAAATAATGGAACGCCTAGAAGTTTGCGCGCAGCACTTTGGAGATTCGCAGAGTTAGCGCATTATATTCGACCACAGAAGGGTAAACCGTATGTTGCTAACCTTATGCCTTGCATTATAAAGATTAGTGCGAGAACTGAGGAGATGGTGCATGAAACACTTGCCGGTAGTTTTCCTAAGATAATGGTGACGTTAGGCTGTTTTACCACCGATAATGATATTAAGGTAAAGTTTGTGTGTGGCGGAATCATTCTGTAGAAGGTTTGTTTTTAGGCGTTAATGAAGGCATTTTTAAACAACATCTCGAATAGTTCTGCGGTCATTCGAAGAACTGCTATCACTTGCATTTTGGCTCTGTGTCTAAACTGTAGAAAGCCATATGTTTTTGTGACATATACTTTAAACAATTTGTTAGGTAGGTACCAAGTTCAATAATTATGGATTGGGCATTCTGTTTTTATTAAATAAAATTAGTTTCATGTTCAACCGTATTATTTTAGATCTGCTCATTCCTGTTCAAGATGATCACTCATCGTCTTTAATACTAGGGGTCTTGGGTTGTTTGAAGGTAGTCCTACCACACATCAAAAATTGTAGCGGCGACCAGGAAATTAAAGACAGTTTCGGTCTGCGCAAGGAAGTGAACGAAACACCTGTAGCAGTAGATAGACTTCTTCAGGTACCTACAACAACTGCAATGTCTCTAAATCGCATTTTGACATTTTCAGGTGTACGAACTCTGCCTTTATTACTTGCCACACGAGGACCACAATATCACCAATGCAGCATTAGAATCGTTAAACGTGCTGTTGCAAAATTGTTCGTCTAATCTAAAAAGCGTTTTGACATCTCCAACTGGTATTAATAAAAGTAGAATAGTTCTCGATTCTAACATCAGATCGAAGCCGCGATCACCAAGTATGACCCCAAAATTCGGTCCCGCATGTTTGCTAAGGTTCCATTTCAGGTCAGATGAGCGTTGCAACTCCTTTGTCGGGCGATGAAAATTCCGAATCAGATTTGCTGGATTCGTTACGGCCGGATATTGAAAAATGGATTGACGAATCTAAATTGTCCGTTATGAATATAACGTACGCGAAAACAAGTGAGATGATGGATAAGACCTTGCATTATAATAGTACTGAGTTGGCCGGAGAGGAGGGGTTAGGAACATCGAACTACAGCAACATTGATATCGGGATTATAACTGACGATAGTTATGATTCTATTAAAAGGGATAAAAGTATTGTGGAAACTTTTGATAAGATGGATTTAAGTGATACGTCAACCGATGATCATAGTTTTGTGCAACCTACTGATGATAAAAGTGTTGCCACTACTAGCGACGATTTGTATCAGGTAAGATATATCTGCGCCAAATGTGGAGTAGTTTTTTCTTGTCTCAGTTAAACATTCACAACCATCAGTTCAACTGAGACAATAACAAAGGCTCTTAGGCTTTTAAAATGGTCTGTTTAATAATAAAAATATAACCGCAAGGGTAGATGAAGGAGAAACAGATGATTGTGCATTCTAATGACATCTGTCGTTCTTATTTCAAATAGGACGCTAAGCACGATATAAAATACGCGACAGCGGAACCTAAGCTTGCTATTCTTGACGTCTAAATTAAATTAAGAATCGTCAGCTTTACAATGACTTATATATGACTTCTGTTATAAAATAAAGTTTTGTATTATACATACAGGGTGTCTTAAATTGAGTAGCATAACATGGCTATCTTTGTTATTATACTTACAGATTAAATTGGCAAAGTTGTGTAGTGTGGCGGTTTTCGAGATATTGACATTAATGGCCGTATGCACCGACAAATTTAAGCAGAGCTTAACCAAACCCTTATACCGGAAACTCGCTACTATTTGCATTTGCGTAACGCGAGACACGGAAAAGAGAGCCCTCTACACGGCCCGGTGTGGAATGACGGGAAATTAAAGAGCAAATTAATTATTTAAGCGAGGTTATTTAAATGTAAGATATGTGATTTTACTAAATACCTGAATATTATCAATTTATCCATAACAATAACTATCACAAAGCACGTAACACCATCAATAAAATTTAAACCAAGTATGACAGCTTACTGTTGACACTTCCTACCGCAACGTTGTGGCCCTTATGGTACAGTAGCGTTGTAATTTGGGACCGGTTAAAGTCCCTAGATTACTAGGACCGGTTTTCAATGTCAGTTTCCTTTATTAAGGCAAGCGCAAACCTACGCGGTCGCGGTGGCGGTAGCGGTGGCGAACGTGGACTCACACCAGGGCGTTCAATCCGCGAGATCAGAGGTTTTTTTAACACAGACTAGCAGTTGATTGTTGAGCATGTACTTTACTATAATGGACAACATTGACGAGGAAGAAGTGCTCCAGCTAGCTCTTTTAGTGGAAGAGGAACAAGAAGTACAGGATAGATTTGTTTCTTTTTTTAATGACTAAAAAATAATAATGTACAGGGTGTCCCTTTAATAATGGTCACAGGCCATATCTATGGAATCGTTAATTTCATAGCCTTGGCAAAAAAATTTTGTTAACAAAGGGGGCCAAGACAAATCGCTGGAAATTATTTTCCAAGTTTCTAACTTCGCCGCTAGAGGGCGTACGATTCATGGTTAAGTAGAAAAATGACCTTTTTCCTAAAATACACCCAACAAACATGCATCAAAAATACATGCATAGCAATCTTGTATCAATTTTGCATCATTTTGATGCAGCAAAAATTGCTCTAGCTCATAAAATATGAGGGGTGGGAGAAGGGGATCATCTATAAGGAATTGAAGGTAACTTCAGTTTAGGTTAACAGATTTTCACATAATAGGTCTTGTTGGAAAGAGTTATCGTGGAATCAGATTTTATATGAATAGAATCTTTTTAGTAAATGTGATGAGTGGTAGAGGGCGCGATGTGGCATTAACATAAACTTTGCAGTTTTTTTGGAAAATATCAAATGGAACGATATAATTATTATATGATATTATCAAATAAGATGAAAAAGTGAGAATATCAGTGAAAACCGCATTTTGATATCTGTTTTCTAAGCAGAGATATGGCGAAAATATCTACCTAGAAAACAGATATCAAAATGCGATTTTCACTGATATTCTCACTTTTTCATCTTATTTGATAAAATCATATAATAATTATATCGTTCCATTTGAAATTTTAAAAAAAAATGCAAAGTTTTTGTTACCGTCACATCGCGCCCTCTACCATTCAGCACATTTACTAAAAAGACTCTATTCATGTAAAATCTGATTCCGCGAAGAGACATCTTTCCAACAAGACCTATTATGTAAAAATCTGTTAACCTAATCCGAAGTTACATTTAATTCCTTAAAGAGATGTTACCCTTTCCACACCCCTCATACTTTATGAACTAGAGCAAATGTGCTGCATCAAAATGATGCAAAATTGATACAAGATTGCTGTGCATGATTTTTTTAGGCATGTTTGTTGGGTATATTTTAGAAAAAAAGTCATTTATCTACTTAACCATGAACCGTGCGCGCCCTAGCGGCGAAGCTAAAAACTTGAAAATAATTTCCAGAGATTTCTTTTGGCCATTTTTGTTAAAAAAATTTTTTCCCGAAGCTGTGCAATTAACGGTTCCATAAATACAGCCTGTAACCATTATTAATGGGACACCCTGTACTAAAACTATAAACAAATACACTTACCTTCATCAGGTTTGTCCAGTATCATGGCCAATTCATCCCATACTTTATCTTTCTTTTTTATATTTTTATACTCCTTACATGTAAGGTCGTATAAAATTGGATTTCCTCTCACTAACCCAATTAGTTGTTCTGTCATAGCGTGTTTTCTTCCGAGACATGGAGCGCGAACTGGCGGGCAAATTGTGCGTGCAGCGGTCGCCTGCCCGCTACACTGATCTTCACCGCCACCGCTTAAATTTGTCGGTGCATACGACCATTACCTACTTCCTATTTTGAATGGACTCCATATTGGATTTTACGTCACTCGATAGAGAAAAAATTTACAAAACCAGTAATACTGGGTTGGTAGAGCAGTCTTGGCTGAAACCCCGCCCACTCAAAAATAAAGGCAAAATAATAAAAAATAAACACTTAGTATTTCATTTGGGAATCAACCATGCATTTTTGCCTTGCAGTTTACTTCTTTACTACTTGGGTATACTTCTTATGGTAATAATTCCATGGCCATATTGATGGTGACGTTGCGAGCCAATAAACGAATGAATTTGTTTTCAATCATAATTAGCCATGGAATTTGTCATAAGAAAATCCGTATTTGGTAACTCCTTTTGATAACAAAACAATTATGCCAAACCTGATCACCATAGGTTTTATAGTCATTGTATAATTAAATAAACAAATTAAAAAAGCAGTGCTTGGTCCTTCACATTAGTGAACATAGTGGAACCCGAAAACAACTTTTTTCAGAAATCGTCCTGATGATTTTTACAAATCTTCGAACTGTAGAATTTTTTTTCAAAATCCTAAAATTTTCTTAACAAATGTAATAACTTCTGAGATATAACAAGAAATATAACTCTGTAATAGGCCAATGGAAAGCCCTTGAAAAGACGCACATACCTATAGAAGTGGGTTAGGCTGACGCTGTATTAGCTCAAAGCCCCCGCATTAACGGCCAGCAAGCTCAGGGTGGTAAATTCAAAAGGCTTGAGAACTTTCGCGGCGGTTGATTCGTTCTGTAATGTGATGTCTTGTAAACTTCGGTACTGCTTCGCAACTTACCATTAGTTGAGCGCCACTCAGCTACAAAAAAACTAGGGAAATGCAAGAAGAGCAACATTGAACTTAACCAAAGCAATACGAGTATCTTTAGTCTTTAATGACTAGTAAAAGCACGTCAAAATTGAACAACGTTTCCCCACTAATACAAAGATATTACACTTAATCCCCCCAGATATAAGTTACACTTAATCTAAGTCGAGATACAGGGTGATTCCTATAGTACCTGCCACCGTTTGGGAGCGTGTAGGTGGTGCGTAGGGGAGTATTTTGATATAGGACACTTGGGGTCGGAAATCTAAAATAAGGGTGCCAGAGCCAAATTTACCTTCTGGAATTTCGCGCCTGTAGGTAGGCAACCCAACCGGCCGGCGGTGCACACGGAGCGATCTCAGGCGGCGATGTGTGGCTGACACTTGATCAGAATTTTGTTTAAACCCACGAAATCCCGTCTGCAACGACGCGTATCAAGTGAATAAACACTATGGCACGTTTTACTAACACGGAATACGCGGACATGCACTTCATGTACGGATTGGCAAATGGTAACGCACGAGCTGCACGACGAGCGTACGCTGAGCGGTATCCAAACCGTCAGTTACCCTGCAGACAGGTCTTTCAAGAAGTTCACTTCCGACTGTGCGAGACAGGGCAATTGCAGGTAAGCTGACGGAGGCTTAACTTTACACACAGATTCGTGATGCACATCGATACTTGGGTCATTTAAGCACCCATTTCGAAAAGTTTGTTTGTTTACACCGACCTCCTCCTATTTCGCAGCCCACTAGCGCCCGTGATCGCGATCGCCCGTTGGTAAATGCCTTAGAGGAGGATGTGTTGGAACGTTTCGAGGCAAACCCGCGTACTAGCACTCGACTTGTAGCAGATCAGGTGGGTTGTAGTCAACACACAGTGTGGAACATCGCCAACAACAACAACTTACACCCTATAAGTTTAAGAAAGTGCAAGAGTTACGGCCGGGTGACCATGAAAGGAGGCTGGAATTCTGCAACTTAGTCGTCCAGGAGGAAGAAGCTAATCCGAACTTTCTGAGGAGCGTGCTAGTTACTGACGAGAAAGGATTCTCAAGAGAGGGGACCTTCAATCCTCGTAACAGCCACTACTGGGCGGAGCACAATCCTCATGAAACGTTTACGCGAGGATACCAGGACAAGTTTTCTTTAAACGTTTGGGCTGGCATCCTGGGGGACAACCTACTGGGGCCTTACATCCTCCCTCCGCGTCTAAATGCCCATAATTACCTGATTTTCCTGCGCGAGGTGCTACCAGAACTTTTAATGGATGTTCCAGTGAACTTGTACTGGGACCACTGGTTCCAGCACGATGGGTGCCCTGCTCACTACGGGCGGCAGGTGAGGGAACACTTGGACCAAACCTATCCGGACAGATGGATCGGCCGTGGATGTGCGGTGGAGTGGCCTGCCCGCTCGCCCGACATCACCCCATTAGATTTTTACTTGTGGGGTGTGATGGAAGCGCACGTCTACGAGACTCCCGTCGAATCCGAAGAGGACTTAATTGCGCGCGTCGTCATGGCCGGAGAGGCTGTTCGCCAGGACATAGGAGTCTTCACGCGAGTTCGAGG